GTTTTCTATGCATTGAACAGAAGTGACATGGAACACAGAAAATTACATCTCAAAAAGTTGTATAGTAAAACTTTGGATCCCAAAATTATTCCAACAACAAATGATACTTCAAAATGGAGAGGAAAGTCACATGACAGGTGAGCTTTGTGTATAGTGACTAATCATAACAAAAACATCTGTGCATAAACATGGTAAAGCAGTAAATCATCTATTTCATTAACTTCAAGGGTAACAAGGTGGGAATACTGGTAAAAAATTGCCAGTTGCTGTGCAGCTTTTGCTCAGTGTTGTACATTTTTGCTTATACTTTTGTTTAAATTCTGTTGTGATTTCTATTTTGTAATATGACTATTAAATAAGATACCATGTGGCCAAAGAAGAATAAAAAAATGACTAGAATCATGATTGAGGCGAAGAAAAATTACAGCTAAATATGAAAATGGTATTCATGGTCTTTGATCTTGTTGCCCAGTTTGGTAACGCAAAATCAAAGATAGCACTAGCTATAAAATCTGATCCTTACAGGACATGACCTCCCACCAACTCCATGTTTTAACCAGAGCAAAGTATAACTTCCAGTTGTATCATTTGTAAACAAAATCTAGTATGTTTACAAATTTGTTGCTCCAATAAACAGAAAGGTTAGAAATATTAGGTATAATTAACCCTGTATAAAAAGTAGTTTTTTAAAATTTATTCCAACATAATCAAATATTTGTTTCACTATTTTTTAATAAGAAATGCATTTTATTGGGAAGATGAATAACATATAATTTAATTACTTTTTAATTAAAGGAAATTAAATGTTAATAATGAATAACATAATTTAATTTTCTTCTATGCTATTTCTGTAGTATCAAAAAGTTCTAATTAATTTTGATCTGCAGATATATTCTCATGATACATAGCTATCAGTATACACAGCTTATTAATTTTTAGAATTAAAATTATAACATATAATTTTTCATGAAAATTTGTTCATTACTTCAAGTGAAGTATCACTTCTGGTTTATTAGTTTCAGCCCAAGTCAATGTTGTTTTCACTGGTATAAAAGTCTTAAATACTAAAAAAGTTTTTATTATTTTATTTATTAAAAGAATTATATTTTAACATAATTTTTCAATTTTTAATTAAAAAGTTATGGGATTTCAAATAAAGTAACACTTCTGGTTGTCTAATTTAATGCTAAACCAAATCAACTTTTTATATGAAAGCAGAAAGTTTAAATGCAAAAATTTTTGGAAGTTCAATAAAAGAAGGATCAAACCAATCAATATCATGGATGGAAAAATTGTCACATACATACAGACATACACATAGACAGACATCATTGTAAAAATAGTAAAAACATGTCATGAAGACACCGTAATTCGAGTTTATTCACTAAAACTCACTACTGAACTTTTTTGCCAATAACATTACATCTCTTACCTATGTATATAAGCTGGTTGGAGGTAAAAATAAAGAACCAACTAAAAGAAAAGATATTGCAGGATTAGTGACAATTCTTACATGACAAAAATCACTGGAAATTGAAGAATTGTATAAATTGCTGCTCATTTGTATAAACAAACAAATACTAGTTGGTAACAGTGTTATGAAAGCATCATTTATGAAAGAGCAAGGCAACAGTATGATGACCTGAATAAAAAGTACCCCGGTATGAGAGGTGATACTGATATTTTCAAAGCTAACAAAGGTGGCTTCAGATTTTTAAGAAAAGAAGTAGAATAGAAGAAGTAGTATAATTAACATGTAGAATCTGTGAATTAGAACCAAGTCTGCTACGGAATTTGTTCAAGATTTTAGTGACCATGTAAAAGCTGAGGAATTTCTTCCCCTGCAAGTGTTCAAATGTGATGAAACAGCTTATTCTCGAAGAAATGCCAAGAACATACATCACCCAAGAGGGCATCATTACCTGGGTAAAAGTTAAGAAGACTAGGCCATCTGTTTTGGCATGTGAAAATGCTATCAGAGACTTTAAGCCATTACTTTTGTAACACTCAGAGAATTCAAAGGTGTTTAAAAAGCAATGCGATCAGAAATAAATTGCCTGTTATGTGGACAGATTGAGCAACTAGGCAATTTGTTATCAAATGGATCCCTGAACTCTTTGCCTCTGGTGTGAAGAAAACAATGAAACAAGAACACAGAAACTTACAAGAAAACAAAGTACCTTCTTATGATAGATAATGCATCTGTTCAAACTTTAGGTTAGGCAGAAAAGTTGCTGGAAGAGTTAGGTTTTATCAAAGTGAAGTTCCTGTCTCCTAACACGACTCCTCTAAAACAGCCCATAGATCAAAAGGCTATTTGAAATTTCAAGGAGCTCTACAAGCTTTCAGAGGCATTTTGAGGTAAGCTCTGATAAAGAATTACAATTGCAGTAAACAGCTATGATACACAGTACAGTTACAGATTTCTAAAAACATCATTTTAATAATCTTCACTGTTTAATTCTCATAGACAAAGCTGCAGCAAGCGACTTACAAATTCTGCCCGGAGGAAAATGTGGTCAAATTATGTTCAAGACAAGAAAGACTTTGTGCTTTGACACTAAGGAATTTTTGATTATCAATGATATTGTATTTTTAGACAAAAACATGGGCTTGGACGTAAGAAATGATAAAAGATGTGGAAGAAATGATAAAAGGTCACAAAAACGAACTCAGAATGGAAGAAGTAAAACAACTTCACAGGCAGCAATAAAAGGCATTTGCAGAAGAAATGTTTTCAGAGGAAAAAGATGGTCATTCCTAGTTATTTGATCTGTGAAAAAGTGTGCAAAATAGGGTGAGGCGAAAAGTTACATTATCCCCCTAACAAAGCCTTAGAATAAATATTTTCAAGGTAATACCATGCCTTATTTTAGGTACACTGTGCCCTCCCCAAACAAAAGCGGGGAACAGCTTTATATCTCCCGTTCTACTGCTTATGACTACAGTTCTACTACTTAGGATATGTATAGCATTGTTCTAACACAGGTATTTTGACATAAAATTGGACTTTTTCTGAAATAACATACCAATTTTTTTTCCACATTTCGATTCTACGACTCAAATTATGCCTAGATATTAAATTTTGTAAAATTTAGTATGAAATTTATGGAGAAATTCAAAAATTTATCTTGGTGCAATTTTTCAGTTTGTGCCAAGAATAATTCACTTGGCGAACTTCTTAATATATGGCAACAAATTTTCCTTTCCCTTCCATTATGCCGGAGTGGAAAAAAAAAGGCACCTCATTCCCACCTTTTTACATTGTGCATGAGCAGAAAAAAAGTCACTTTGTTTCTACTTTCAAATAATTTTACCAAAGTGTCTAAACTACATATGATGTTTTATTGCTTTCAACAAATATGCCAAATTTCAAAATGCGCCAATATATAAATTCATGTATATATTCAGGAAATTTTCGATAAAGAGCTGTAATTTTTTACAGTTAATGGGCTTAGAAAATACATGTCTACTTTAAGATGAATGGTAAAAATTGCTTATAGGTTATACTATCAAAATTTTTCTTGCGAAAAATTTATAAAAATTTTTTTTTTAAAATAAATAATAAATAAAATGGATGAATTTTATTTGGAAGAACCTAAATTTCCAAAATATGGAAGGAAGGAATCAAGTAATTTTAATAAAAAAGAGAGAATATTAATAAATACATAAGAAATTGAACTCAACATTGAGGAACTAAAATTTTGAGAGCTAATTTTTTAAAAACTACTCATGCCATTTTTACAAAACTTGGTCGTTTGGCATAATTTGAGATGCAGAATGAAAATTAAGAAAAAAATTGGTATGTTATTTCAGAAAAAGCCCGATTTTGTGTCAAAATACCTATATTAGAATAATGCTATATATAAATCTAACACATATCCTAAGTCGTGCTTTCGAGAGATGAAAAACACAAGCTGAATTTCGTCAATCGACCCAGTAGAATGGGAGATATAGAATTGTCCCCCCCTTTTTTTGTGCAGGGTACATTTAAAACACTGAGTAAACAAATCAAACTGGACAAATTTTTAGTGATGACTGAGATCTCAAGTGGAAACAAGTCATGTTAAAAACAGATATAAACAGATAACTCATAAAAACAGTAGCTACCTCATATTTTAATCAAAAGGACTTTCTAATAACATCTCTCCTCTTTCCTTTCTTCACCATTTTCTACTTATGTTGTCAAACTTCCCTTTGTTGAGACATGGTTAAGCTTTCTTTCTTTTTTCCCATTACATTTATATTGTGTATGTATTAGATTTAATAAATCCCTTTTGTTTAATATTACCAATGTGAACAAAAGTACTCTTTTATAAGCAATCATTTTGGGTCCTGGAACTGATTAATCCATTTTACATTTATCCTTGTGAAGAAAACTGTTTCAATTTATGAATATTTTGGATGAAGACCTATCTTCAGAAATGAATTAAGCATGTGAACCAAGGTTTCACTGTATTCCTGATTGAAGCAAGAAGTACAAAACAATGTATGAATTTTAGATAAAAAAAGTAGATTTTTAATATAGAATATTCAGACTGAAAATAATAAATGTCATATAATATCTTAGTAGTCATAGTATGTTATTTATTTACAGTGTAAAATAATTTTCCAGCTTAACCATTTTCTCACATACACTGTTTTTCTCATCATTTTATAATAATAGGCTCCAATGAACTTAAAACAAACTGAGAATGATCAACTATGCATAGAACTATTGCACATTTAACTGAATAACAAAAATATTACTCATGCTGCTACTTGAAAACAAGCATTCTATGCATATTACAGTATATTTCATAAATGCATAGAAAATACTCATCTATAATATACAATAAGCTCAGTCAGTAACTTAGCACCAATTTTTAAGTGCTTACAGAGAAAAAGTGACATATCTAAGGTTTAATATATTTAAATTTTTAAAATATACTTTTGCTTACATAAAATAACTATAATACATATTCTTCAGTTATAAGTGCAGAATTAGATGGTATACAAACCTTTTAGCAACTAAAAACTTTTTAGTTGTTTTGTTTGACTGCTGGTCAATGCTCTTCCAGATACCACTTTGCATAAGCACTTCAGATATGTTGATGTTCGCATGGCTATTTTGACTCTTAAATGTTGATTTACCATCTGCATTTTGGACACAAATAACTTCAGATAAGCTGTTTGATATCTACAAGGATGATAATAAGAAAAATCTGAAAACCATATATTTATTTTGGAAATTATCTGCAGTTAAGATACTCCAGCTAGTACTGATGGAAGATTTAAACTGCAGATAGATATAGATCTCCTCATTTTAAAAATACAAAAATATTCAGCTGTCTGAAGAATTCAAGAGACTTGATTTATTTCATTGTTTCTTTTTACCTTTGATTTTTCTATTTTATTTTTTAAATCCCACTCTTTAACTTAACTCCATAAATCTTTGTTTCTTGAAGAAAAGGTGCCTGTATTATACTTTCTAAATCTGATTTTTAAACTTTATTAATACAGTAAAAGCTCAACTAGCCAGCACTCAACTAACTGGAATATTTAAAAGAATTAAACAAATGAAAGACTTTTAAAACCATCATAGGGCATGTACAGGACTGCTATCACAGCCCTACTTATAACATGTATGATGTAAATACATTTATGTTGCTGATTTTAAAAAGATGTTGATTACCCATTCCCCCATCACTGCATCATCATATTGTTCCAATAATTTGCCTTTTGAGCTTGACACACCTCATACAAAAAGAAATGGGAACATATGAAAAATTTCAGAGTTCATGACAGGCATTCAGTCTGTCTATCATGAGGTATACTTATAAGGTATTTCTCCCACTCCCCTAGCGTCCTTCGTGGTGTAGTGGTTCTGCATGCCGGGCCGGTATTCCAGAAATCAGTGGTTCAATTTCCAGCGAAGGCAGTTGCATATTTTTCATCTTTTCTGCTTCCAATTTACCTAATGACTCTACAAGTGGCGCCCGAACTAAAAGGGTTGTAAATGATGATTCTCTGCACCCAGGATTTGGCAACTAGGTCCTCTAAAACCCTAGGCACCCTTTAAAAAGGGGAGTATATAAGGTATTTCTCCCACTTCCCTAGGGTCCTTCATGGTGTAGTGGTTCTGCACGCTGGGCTGGTATTGAAGAGGTCAGTGGTTCGATTCCCGGCGAAGGTGGTTGCAGATTTTTCATCTTTTCTGCTTCCAATTAACCTAATGACTCTACATACTTTTATTAATACACTGAACATTGACCATTTTTGCCAGACAGAAACTATCACTAAACAGTCTGATTTAACTCCAGTAATGGATAAATGTGATATTCCATCACAAACATAAGATCTTTTCCTTGGTTTATGCACCTTTTATGCAAATTTCTTTAATTCTTGATAATGTGGCTTAATTTTTGTAAAAATTAATACATGCTAACTGCTATTTATCTGCTTTTTTGTAGCATTTTGAAAAAATAATTAAAATTTGGAAATTAAAAATACTCTACTGCATGATGCCTTTAACAAAACAGCATACAGTAGAGCAGTGTTCTCAAACAGGTGGCCTCAGAAGCAATTTTATGTGGCCTATGAAGACATTTGAGTTATGTTCAAGATTTTAGTTATTTGACTCACAATTTATATTATTCTAATTTTCATTAAAATGAACACAAATAAAACCCAGAAATTGTATAAATGAACTTAATTGATTTACATTTAAATTTTATTCAAATATTTTAAGACACAGATTATATTAATTTTTACACTCGCTAAAAATTAAATATGCTCAGTCACGAGTTTTTGCACTAAGAATAACTGTTTGTTTGGATGTACATTTACACATGAAAAGGGTTTTTCTTTTTTTCCCCCAAATTTGAAAATTAATGAGAAAAGATCCAGGCTGACTGAGAAACATCAACAGCCTGTGAAGAAAATAATTTCTAGTAATTTCTCTCCAAGCCTACAAACTTTATTAAAATCGAAATGGCATCAAGTATCAAGCCATAGTAAGAAATTTATAACTATTCACATACAAATATACATATTTTTATTTATGCTTCAAAGAAAAATTTAATAAGACAAAGATAATAGATTGTCATTATTTATTCTCAGGTTCTGTCTCATACAGAAAGTTTTCTTTTATTTTATTTTAATTTAAATTAAAGTAATTCATTTAATGATTAAATGTTCCCATTAGGATTATTTAAAAAAAAATGCCAGTTTAAGAATTTAATATTTAGCAGTTAAAATATTTAAATTATATATATATATATAAAATATCATTTAACAAAAATTGATTCTAGAACATGCATTCGGCCTGCATGCAGTTTGAGTCTGAGACTACTGTAATAGAGCATGAAAACTTATGTCAAAGATTTAAGTTTTTTATGTGTTACATAAGTAATTTGTAGTTGCTGACTCCATAAAGAGCAATATATTTCTTCAAACTTTTGCTAGAATAATGAGCAAAAGTTCAGGGGGGTTTTGTAATTAGATAAGATATTTTACTTTCATATGAATATGTTGGTTTTTATGTCTAAGAGACATTCCCCCTGACATCTCCCATAAGTTTAAGATTAGACTTTTATTATTCAAATTAACTAAAATGCTTGTTTTTATAATTTTAGAATAAAAGTTTCTCCTTCCATTCACTTCACCTTTCTATCATGAACTGCAGTTTCTAGACACTCAACTACACAGAATTTTCTGAGCTTTTTAGATACTCAGGCTTTCACTGTACTTAAAAAATTATGTGCATTACATTTACTAGTGTATTTCTCCCACTAGCAAACCCTCTCGGTTTTTCAGTATATGGTATAAAAATGTCTAATCTATAATAGCAACATATAAGGTCGGGAATGAACAGCAAAACGTACTGTGTAAGTAAAAAAGAATAGTGCTGAAAGCAACATACTGAACTCTTTGTAATACGGAATGTATTAATATGTAGAGTAAGCACAAAAAAAGCGTTTGTCTTTCTATATTCCTCATTCTAGTTAGATAATCAACAAATTTCATATTGAATTTTTCATGCACAACTAAAGATGTATATTAGACCAATATGTAAAATTATTCTAACATGTGTATTCTGACACAAAATCAGACCTCTTTGAAGAGAGATGGCTATTTCCCCCTGTATATTGATTTTATGATTATGTTTTTAAAATTTATATAAGCAATTTTGCATTTATTTCCACTTGAAGTCTGGTTCCAACAAGTTTAACTAATAAGTAATTTCATTTGGTGAGCTTCCAATTCACATTTACGATGGATAAAAAAAAAAAAAAAAAAAAAAAAAAAAAAAAAAAAAATCAGATAACAATCCCATAATGACTTCACAATTGAAGTTTTAAAGCTATTTACTATTATTTATTTTAAAGCTATTCACATCACTTTTGTTATTTTTCATAAAGTATTATATGTTGTTACATTGCACATTAATTACAGAAATGGTTAAAATGAGAGGGATATATTTAAAAGTTTTAAAATTTCATTCATCTCCAAATAAACAGCAGTCAGCACAAATTATTAAATGATTATTAAATGCATTATGAAAACAGATTTCCCAGTTTATATTATTCTGCAAAGCAAACACATGTAGACTGTTTCCTATACATATATTAGGAGTTCTTGTTTTCTACCCATTCATTTTCTAACAGATTTCTGTTTGACTAGTATGTTTCTCAAGTATCGTTCAAGATTGTGTTCAGGAGCCTCTCCCTCCACCCATAGCATACCATCTTCAATTCCATTCATTGCATTTCAGTAGTCTGTTATACTAAAATTGTTCAGAATGGTGTCCCGATACATACATCCCCATTAGCTGTTGGGTAGTGATCCTATAAGTCCTTGCATGTGGCCTACAATACATGCCAGTTATGCACCAGATCAGTGTTACTAGAAAGTTTTAAACTGAAATAGCAGGAGAAGAGTCAGAAAGTTGTAAAAAGTCACAAATAACATTGGAGATCAAATGATTTTAAGATGTCACAGTGACATATGTTCATAAGACCTCTGACATCATCATATATTCATTCTCTACTGGTTGCATAATTTACGGACTAAAATTCGATTTAGTCGCTTTAATTGCATATTTTAACAAAAATTTAAAAATATTACTGCTCATATTCCATTATTTAAGTATCCATTTCTCTTAATTTTCTAATTTAATTTAGATTTTTATTTTAAAAATAATTTGTGTATATCCAATCTTAAGTGATTCCTCATGTTTAAACTGTTAGCGCTTTTGTAATAATTTTTTTGAGATGGCAGTTAATTTTTTAAATTCATTGTCTTTCCCTGTTAAATTTTATGGTGTTATTTAGAAAAATGCCATTGCTTTGATTTTGAAGTCTTTTCAATTGTTTAGTTCTTACCGTTGTTATAAACAGGAGAATCAATTATTTTTATTATCAATCTATTTCTTTCTCTGTTTGAGTACCTAGTACATGGCATGCAGGCTACAAATTTTTTCTTTCGATTCCTTACACCGCAGAATTGGAGGGATTGGATTGGATTATTCAATTATGGCAAAGCACACGAGGGTTATCTGCCTAAAGGGAGGGATGGAGGACTAGGAAAACCAGCTCGTATACACGTTACACATGGGTAAAACCACGAAAACGCCCATGAAGACAGCCCGTTCGCAAAAATGGAGGGGGATGACTTAAAAACAAAATTTGTAGGACACTAAAATCATCAATATTAAGGTGCATAACACTCTGTTTTACACTCTTTTGCAATATTTTCTCTTTTATTGCTATCGTTTATATGAAACTGATCTATCTTATGATAATACAATACAATCTTTGCTTCATGAATTAAAAATCAATCAATAAATAAAAAAAATTGCAGCAAAGTTTTAACTTTTTTTTTGAAGGGTTTCTAATAAGGTTTTTAATGTTGTACTAGAATTTTATAGATACAATAGGATAGTTATTCCAATTATAAATAGATATTTATGCCTTAACTTCTAAAGTTTTTAACTCTGTTTTGCTTAAACAGTAGGTAATATAAAAATATTTCATTTTAAAAGTAATCAAATAGCATTTGAAATAACATATATTATAGAACAAACACAATAAATACTCCCTAAAACAACCATTCATGTTTCCAGAAAAGTTTGATTTTCTGGGAGAGGTAATCATTTTATAATGTTAATTCTGATCTTATACATACAGGCAATTTTCA